GACCTCTAAATACATTAACAGTGCTTACACTTTTCAGGGCCAGGGACCCCTTTTGAGAATTTGATGAAGGTTATCATCTCTCTCCACAATTAGAGTAAAGAGCTCCAATCCAGAACACTCTGTAGGCAGTTTTAGAGGGGCTCAACGACCTCCTGAAACCCACCCGTGTACCCCCCCAAGTCCACATATCCTGTGCTCTGGAGTCTCTCCCAGACATATATCCCCATCCTCTCTTCCCTCTTCCAAACAGTCCAAATAGTGGTCACACGTGTTAGGCATTCCAGTGTTTTTCATTTAACAAGTATGTGGCTGTGACATTAAAAGTTATCACTGCAAAATGGTAGCACATACAACTGACCTTTGAACAACTGGGTGCACCCCGCCCCCCGACTCAGTCAAAAATCCATGCCTGGCTTTTGACTCCCCCAAAACTTAAGTACTAACAGCCCGCTGTTGACCGGGAAGCCTTACTGATAGTACAGTTGATTAATACGCATTTTGTATACGCATTCTATACTATATTCTTAAAGGTAAGCTAGAGAAGAGAAACTTAAAAAAAAATTGTAAGGAAGAGAAAAACACACTTATGGTGCCATCCTGGGTTTGTCAACAAAAATCCACATAAATGGACCTGCTCAGTTCAAACCCATGTGGTGCAAGGGTCTGCTCTACACGCAGTGCCTTACACAGTGCTTGGCACGTAGTGTGTGCTCTTTAAATAATTTCTTAAACGAATGAGTAGCAAAACACAAATTCTGTCATGTTTTTCAAAAGCCATACAATGCTTTGTCAATTCTCGGATTCCAGGTCTTTCAAGCAGACTTACTGGAAGATTTCCTTCAGCCAAAACTGAACACAACTCATCTTCACATTAATCGAAATATCCAAAGTTTTTATTACTACATAAGAAATAGAGTACTTTTTGTTAGGTCATGTCCTATTTCTTTGCTCACCTGCAGCACTCTGACAGGCAGCCTTATGTTAAAAAAAAAAAAAAGAAGAAAGAAACAAGTTTTGCAAGTAAATAAAAACTGGTAGTCAGATCTTAATTTAAAATCAACAGCCAAAGAGCAAAATAAAGCCTTTTAAAAGTTTTTCCCTTTATCATTCATCCCCTTCAAAAAGAAGAAAGTTGGACGCCTGGGTGGCTCAGTTGGTCGAGCGGCTTTCCTTTGGCTCAGGTCATGATCCCAGGGTCCTGGGATCCAGTCCCACCTTGGGCTCCTTGCTTGGCAGAGAGCCTGCTTCTCTCTCTCCCTCTGCCTGCCTCTCTGCCTACTTGTGCTCGCTCTTTCTCTCTCTCTCTCTCTCTCTCAAATGAGTAAATAAAAAAAAAAAGAAGAAAGTTAAAAAACTGTCCATATTTTCACTGTTCTTAGTACCTTCATTTTTTTCTTGGGTTTTACATTAAAACAGACTACAGTAAGGCACGTTTGTTTTCCTAACAAAAAACCTTAAATGAGCAAATGTAACAATTCTGTCACTAAAAATAAACAAACACCAACTATCTACAAACCTGGTTTAGACTCACAGATGAAAATCCATACATACGTTCCCTCTGGGTCTAGAGAAGTCCCTGACTGCTGTACTTGATACATGTAATTATCATGTTTGTTCAATACAGAAAGAACAGCAGGAAAAAATCAGACCATATACTAGCGTGGAATGTTTCAGAACTCCTTGGTCTTACATATGACAGAGGTTCTCCATTCAGTCCAAAGACGCTTGAGGTTCCCAGAAACAGTTACAAATCTCCCTGGGGCCAGATCTTCTTATACCTCAACCAAAACCATGTATTTCAACAGAGAGGGCGCAGAAGCTAATGAGAATGTATCTATCCTCTCTTTAGTCACGCACCAAAGATACACCTGCAAATGAGCAGAACAAAGCCACTCCTCTCACTCTAACTTTTTGTTTTGGAAAATAGTTGATTTTTTAAAAAAAATTCTTAATCCAGAAAAATTTCAAGTTATATAATCCACACAGAGAAAAATTCTCTAGTATTATCAATAATTTTAATTTAAGATGTAAAGATCCTGAGACCATAAGGTTTGAAAAACCACTGCCCTGTAGCAAACTCGCCTTAACCCCTCACTGGTTTAAAAAAACAAAAACAAAAACAAAGCCCCCCAAAACCAGCATCAATACAGTCATCAACTGATTTTTTCTGCCACGTAAAATCTGACTTCATAATTCGAACCACTTTATTAAAAAGAGAAGTACCACAATATTTTAGTCACTAGCAATACACATCATCTCATTACCCACTGCTTCTCATATTCGATTTTACACAAGTTTAAAGAGCTACTTCATTTTACGTAACCGCAGCAAAACCCCACTTATGTGGACAGTGAACAGTTTCATTCCCCTCTACAGACTGAATTAAATGCTTAGGTTATAAATTAGTGCAGTTTTCCCATTTTATATCATCATCACCTGGAGAGGTCTATAATAATTAGGCAAAAACACAGTATATATACTTATCCCGAAAATACCCATTCAAATTATCATTAAGACGTGTGAAAAATTTGATGTAAAAGAGACATGCAAATAGCACCTTAAGTAACCATTTGTGTTACTTAACCATTAAGTAACCATTCGTGTTACGGACTGGCTTATGCCATATATCTGCCATATTTTGACTTGAAAGTTCACTGGCCGTGAACTCAACTTGAGAACCTAAAAGAACAATCGAAATCCAAGGATTGTTTTGCACTTGGAGTGAACTAGTCCTCACCCTGTCTCCACCCCACCCCCACTTCCCCAAGCGAATTAAGTTCTTGCTTACATCTGTGAGCCAAAAATACAAACAGGTTATTTAATACACGCAGACGCACACAGAGCTCTGGAAAACGGCCCTTCTGGGTTCAGGAGGCACACCTCAACTCACGGCTCTGGCCACGGCATCTTGGGAGAAATACATACTACAGTCCCCCTTCCACCACCATCTAAAACTCTTGCTGAGACTTCCTACGATCTGAAATCTACGCGTATTTTTGTCACCTCTCCTCAGTGCTTTGAGAAAGGTCTTGTAATATGTGGGCCTACGTAGCCCTAACAACCACTACACTTCCTATGTTGTTGTACGTCTCGCAAGCACTCGACAAACACACAGGGATTTAAGATGAAACCGTACCGAGAACAGAAAGTTAATTGAGAAATAAAGTTCCAAACCTAGAATTGGTTCGATGAATTAAAACCTGCAGCAGACTACGGGACGGGAGCTTTCTCAACATCTTCTACCATCTCTGTTCTTCGGTCCAGGGTTAGGGTTCTTAATCTGACACTCCACTGAGTGAACGTGGCACAAAAGAGGACAATCTTCAGTGCCAGAGACAGCAACAAACGTAAAGGTCAGCTCCATCAAAGTCAGTTTACTTAGGTTTGTACTTTGGGAATAGGGTATTTTATTCCCTAGCTGGAGTTTTTTTTCTCCCCTTTCCTTCCCAAACATCTTCCAGAGAAAACTTTATGAGAATTTTAAAACTAGCGGGGTGCCTGGGTGGCTCAGTTGGTTAAGCAACTGCTTTCGGCTCAGGTCACGATCCTGGAGTCCTGGGATCAAGTCCCACATCAAGCTCCCTACTCGGCAGGGAGTCTACTTCTCCTTATGCTCTCTCTCTCATTCTCTCTCTCTCTCAAATAAATAAATAAAATCTTTAAAAGAAAAAATTTTTTAGAAGAATTTTAAAACTAGCTACCACCCCATCTTTCCACCCTTATCCATTGCCCCCAATGCAACCTGATAAATGAAGTATACAACCAACTCTTCATTTTGGCTCAGGTCATGATCTCAGCGTCATGAGATTGAGCCCAACAGGGCATGGAAACTGCTCTCCCTCTGGTCCCACCCCCCATCTCTCTCCCTCTCAAAAAAAACACAAAACAAAACAAAACAAAAAACCCACAAAACAAAAATAAAAACACCAAGATCAGTCTCAAAGAGAATATTTAAAATAGCCACTATTCCACACAGAAGAGGGAGAAAGAACTCTCCGCACGCTAAAGAATTACCTATCTCCCCCACAACCCGCCACCAAAGCTCCTGAAAAAAGGATCAGAATGATTTAAAAGTTCAACATCCTAATTCTGCTACTATATTTAGATTTAACCTGGAAAAAAAAAAATAATACTGCCAGGTTCAGAAGGAAAGGAAGAGAAGGAAAGGAGGCAGAAACTGTAGGTTATCCTCGCTGAAAAGGGGCCAATTTCTTACTCCATTTACTCCACAACATTTTAGATGCATTTTAGATTCGATCTCCCCACAGCTTATTGGCAGATACACGTACAGATTAAACATGCAGTATGTAAAATGGGTAAGATTTAGGCCGGTAAAAAAAATGAACCTTTATAAGCCCAAAGCCTCCATCCACTGAGTTTCCTCATTTCAAGAGCTTACTCAGACGCTCAGTTCTTTGGTCAAAAATAAATTTGAGTTCAAGTTCACCCTCCAAGGACAATTACGAAAGAAAACCTAGATATGGAAACCTAGCAACTAAGATGCATTTGCAGAGGATAATGAATGGTTTAGGTAGAAATAACACATTACTAACCAGTTTCACATATGGATTGTGACCTCTTGCCTCTAAGACTCATTTGAGACAAAAACGAATACTCTTAAAATTACAGGCAAGATGGAGTCGGAATGCAATGATAAACATGTTTTTAAAGTGGGTATGGGGCACATACAGATCAAAGTGTATTTCCAAGTGAGTAATCCTAGCAGACAGCTTTGCCTCCAAATCACGTCCCTCTCATCTCAGTAAAGTTTTATTAAAAAAAGAAAAGAAAAGAAAGAAAGAAGAAAAAAGAAAAGACAAAGGTCGGGGGTGGGGGTGGAAAGTCGTATTAAAAAAAAAAGGAAGAAAAGAAAAGAAAGAAACCAGGTCACTGAGAGAGGGAGCATATGCGTGTCTGTGGCCGTGTTTAAAGAAAGGCAGTTTGGGATGCGTTGCTGGAAGGGCAACGTGTTTATGGACAGCAGGCGTTCGAGTACTTACTGTGCCCGGTTCTCTGTCTGCTCCCGAGGTTACCAAGAAACGCACAGACATGCCCGTTCAGACACAGAGGCAAGAACAGAAATAAAAAAAAGGGGGGAATAATTAGAACACAAGCCCCAAACAGTTTTAAAAATGGCTTTTATTTATATAAGTCATTGCACATTCCTAATACAGTGATTTCCTGAAAATTACAGTATTTTGTAAACATAAGATTTACAGTTTAACCATACACAAAGCCTATTTTTTTTATTTCTTGACAGAATAAATTACTTTTCTTCAAAAAATTAGTCAAGTGCAATTTTGCCCAATATTTAATGCATACTAGAATTAAAGCCTATGAAACTAAGTAGTAACAGATGCAATTATCAAACCTTTCATTTGAACACATTCACTTTCAAATTTAACTTCTTATTTCGCCCCATTTAACAACATTACTTTCTTTGAAAATTACCCAATTAAGCAGTTAACAGTTTTCCATAATATGGTACAGGCCACTGGCATTAACCAGGCAGTTGCCAAGATGTCAAGATGCCTGTAATCTAAAGAGATCGAGAAATCTACAGATGCCCACATCAAACCCTGGAAACTTCCAGGGAGGACTGTGTTTCAGTGGCCAAGCTTTGCGACAGACAGTTCCTCTTAGCTCTGTATGGGGTGGGGCTTTCCTTAGCGGTGCACACAACTTTGCAGCACTGTATGAGTATCAGGACCAAGTCCTAATCTGGCTTGCCCGGCCTCTCACCTCTGTGGTGCTCTGCATCGTGGTGCTTCTTGTCATCTTTTATTGCCAAGTGAGACTGCCCACTCAGAGCACTAGACAGCGCCAGGAGGCCAGCACTGCCCCCGAGGGGCGGGATTCCAGGAGGCTGAAGTCCCGAAGGGTGAGGCGTGAGGGGCACTGGGGGTCCGTGGCCGTGAGAAAGATGCTGAGCTTGCAACTGCTGCTGCTGTTGGTGGTGGTGAGAGAGGAAAAGGGGGAGGAGGAAGAGATGAGAGGATGGGGAAGAGGGAGAGGAAGGGGAAGGGGTGAGAGAGGAAGGAGGGAGGAGCCAGGGGTGGAGGGGGTAGGAGGTGAGAGAAGGGGAGGAGGTGAGAGAAGGGGAGGAGGTGAGAGAAGGGGAGGAGGTGAGAGAGGAAGGAGCAGAGGATGAGGATGGAGGTGGCAGCAACATCCAGGGGGAAAAGGACCCACAATGGAGGAAACACAACAGGAGATACAACAAACACAGGAAGGGAAAAAAAAGACAAAGGGAGGGAAGGGGAAAACATGTGATTAGCATTTTCAGTTCATCAAAGGCGTCCATCCATACAGTTATCTTTCCCCATCTTCCCAAAATGCCACGGGGATCTATCTATGCTGCCTCCTCCTGGCATGAGTCCTGCCCGCAGAGTGTGGCTGTGGATTAGCAGCAAGCCAGGCTAGCACTCCAGGGGCAGATCCACCTCTAAGCACCAGGGATGCAATCCAGTTTGTGACCAAATACAAGACTCCTCCTGATTTTCAGAAGGTTGAAGCGTGGGGGGCACAGATGTGCACTCTAGAAAGCACTGATGCTACTCTCCACTACTCACAAGCTATGAGGTGACTTTGTTTCCCAAATATTCTTGTGCTAACTTACCACAACTTATGATGAAGCATTAACAAAATACTACCTTAAATTAAGGGAAGCCTGAAGAAAGATCTAGCTTCTCTTAGGCATGCTCCCCCCCCATCCCCCCCCCCAAGCCCTGTCGCAAGTACCCCTGTGTCCTTATTTCACTAAGCCCCTCAGAGCTAGGAGGAAGCACCGACATTGCCATTTCACAAAAGGAACCAAGGTGCATGGCCTTAAGGAAACTCCCACCAGGCGGAGAGGGGTGGGGCTGTGTAGGAATGACCCTCATGGCTGCACTCGGGTCACCGTGCCACCACACCACCACACGTAGAGGGAAGCCCTGGGGGCCATGCTGTGACAGCTGTGACAGAAGAAACCACAGCTGGGAGAAGCCACAGCCTGAGGCTGTGTTTATTGCTTCCTTTTTCTCGAGCCTCACACCCCAAACCCACCCCTTCAATAACACAGGGGGAAACACTGAGACCCAGAGAGGCCACAGAATGGGACTCTCCCCACTGTGACCACGTCCCCACTCCCAAATGCCTTTGCCTCTATCCCTTAACCCATTTCAGAAGTCAGAAATCTGTTCACACTAAAAAGTACCATTGCTCTCATACATTATATTGAAGAGACTGCTGTAAGTAAATGAAAAAGTATCTAAGATATGGCCCTGCACCATAAATCTGGCCACATTTCAGCTGTCCAACATAAAATTCGTTTTTGATGAGACAGTAAAAACGATTAAAGCTCAATTTCTAAGGTGTAATGTTAGAAAATTCTTAAGATTCTGATTTGTGCTCACTTCCCCGGGACTCAATTACTTGGTTTATTTATTACCCCCTCGCGTGTACTGAATATATTAAATCTTCACGCCAGATCTTCAGTAATTTCTACCCAGACCGCTGATCTTTAATTGAATCCTAAACATGCTTCCCGCCCTCAAGAGTGAGAGAAAATAGCACCTTAAAGCCAGAAACTGGTGTCTACCATCAGTTGACAGTAAATTTTCAACCGCTCCTAGCATCTTCTAAAACATCTTTAGGACCCAACCTTCTCTTGAAATTATCCTTCTTTCCAAAGGGGAGCACAGTGCTCATCAGAGGAAAAGTGGAAAGGGGGAGAAAGGTCAGAGCGGCCAGCATCAATAGTATTCTTGGAAAGTATTTATAAAGTCCTCATTCACCATTTGAGATCGTAATAATTTCTTTATGCACAATATCACCTTCCTGTCATCCCAAAGACACTAATTCTTGCTCTGTCACCTTTTAAGAGCTTGGCAATAGCCAGACATAAAACTGGAGAAGCCAGCAGCAGCATCATGGTCCACTAGGCATGCTCATTAGCACTTAATTAGGAAGTAGACACCTGCCATAAGAAATGTGCTCGGAGAAGGATGAGGAACAGGTCTGCCCTACCAGCAATTGCTATCATTACTTAGAGAATAGCACTACGTCCGGCTTCTGGGGGGGAAACGCAATGATGCATACACAAGCAGTGCAACGGGGTAATTAAGCATGGCACGGATTACAAGATGAGAGAAGCCAAGCAGAGGGGAAGGGATTTAACTACTGGGTGGGGGACACCACCCTTTCACCCCTCCCTGCACACCCCGCTCTACCGAAAATCCAAAAGAGAGTCACCAAAACACTTCCAGAGGTGTGATTTTATGTCCCAGCAAAGGCATACTCAGCAAATGTCTGGATACATGAGAAGGGAGGAGAGCTTTCCTCCCAAACCCAAGCTGGTTTGTAGAAAGATGAACTAGAGAGTGTCTATGATACATTATCGAAAAGAAAAACTAGCTTATATAATAAAGGGGCTTCGCCACAGCTGCAAACTGGACCCATGTGATTAAGCCCCACAGTTAGGCTAAGAACTATCAACAGGGATGTCCAACAGCCTGAAGTGGGTGGCCCCGGGAACTCCCACCTCTACCCAGCTCTGGTTTTCCAGGATCCATAAAGCAAGTTCACTGTCCATTATTAGAGGCAACTGAGTTTCTCCATCCCTTGCTTGGCCATTTTGAAAGCTGCTGCTGCTTCTTTTTATTGTTATATTTTATTTTATTTTATTTTATTTATTTATTTATCTTTCAGAGAGAGAGAGAGAGAGAGAGAATGGGGTGGAGGGCAAACAGAGAGGGAGAGAGAATCTTAAGCAGGCTCCATGCCCAATGGGGAGCCCTCCTCAGGGTTCGATCTCACAGTCCTGAGGTCATGACCTGGGCCCAAATCAAGAGTTAAACGTTTACCCAAATGAGCCACCCAGGCACCCCAAGCTGCTGCTGCTACTATTTTTTTTTTTTTAAAAGCAAAATCCTACCCAACTGGAAAGAGTACTAAGCAGTGAGAGGATGGATCACAACTACTGAAGATGCTACAGAACCAGGAACTTGGATAACGCAGCCTCACGTTCTACTTCTGATCCTGACATGCAGTGTGCCGAGATATTCTCCGTCCATCGCCTGGCCTCAGCTCAGAACACTCCCAAGGCAGCAAGGGCAGGCATCGTGGATCCCGTTTCACAGAGGAGAGGGTGGCTTGCCACGGGGAGCCATAACCAGAATGAGGACTGCAAACCTTTTCTTCCCTAGAACAGCCTTTTCTGCTATGAACCCAGCAGCCCAGTCACGTTCACAAGGAGTTAGACTGGGTGTTCCCAAGCACAGGGAAGGGAGTGCCATCTCCTTCTCCAACAAAGACTTCATAGGTCTTTCCCTTCTCAAGTTAAGGGGAGACTCCTGAGGTTGTAGAATGCCACATGTGCTGAGACAATCCACCCTCCCCAGAGATAAATCCATCTTCACCATGCAGCCTTAATGGCAGTTAAGATTAAAATTTGTTCTTAGATTTATGCCTTGGGGCACCTGGGTGGCTCAGGGGGTTAAGCCTCTGCCTTCGGCTCAGGTCATGGTCTCAGGGTCCTGGGATCGAGCTCTGCATCGGGCTCTCTGCTCAGCAGGAAGCCTGCTGCCCCCACCCCTGGCCGCATGCCTCTCTGCCTATTTGTGATCTCTGTCAAATAAATAAATAAAATCTTTAGGAAAAAAAAAAGGATTAATGCCTCATGAGTCCCATCTCTCTAGTCCCCACTTCCCAGTACCCCGCGTCACTCCATTGGGAAAAGGAGGATCTCTTTAGCTCCAGCTTTCGTCCAAGGAAGCATGTAAAGAAGAATCAAGCCAAAACAGGGACAGCCTTGGCTACTCTCAGAAGATGCTTAACAAATAAAAAGTGTCCTTTCTGAGATAACACACACTCGGGAATGAATACAGTGCCCACGTCTTGGAGAGTAAGCAACTGCAACTGGGCAGCCCACCTGGCCCATGCGTGTTCGGGAGGACATCTCTCAACAAGGCTCACCTGGGTGCCTGGGCCCTTCCCCAAAAGGGAAAAAAAAAAAAAACCATGAATGAGTGCTACTTTATTTTTTTATTATTATTTTTTTAAAGATTTCATTTATTTATTTGACAGACAGAGATCACAAGTAGGCAGAGAGGCAGGCAGAGAGAGAGAAAGGAGGAAGCAGGCTCCCTGCTGAGCAGAGAGCCCGATGTGGGGCTTGATCCCAGGACTCTGGAATCACGACCTGAGCCGAAGGCAGAGGCTTTAACCCACTGAGCCACCCAGGCACCCCATGAGTGCTACTTTAAAAATGTATTTTAGAACAAAAGAGATACTGACATCGCTATACAGCCAGCAAAACCTCAAAAAACCCAATGGCTCTACCTACTGAGAAATCCACACGCATCAGTCTTCCACAGACCCAAACCTGCACAGACCAATGGGGAAACTGAGATGTTTCTCAACAGAACAGCAAGGGTGGGAAAATCCAACCTTCTACCTCCTCATCACCTTCCATGAATTATTAAACTTTTTTTTTTAATGAATGCTTGCAGATTTATATAGTACAGGACTCACATGCAGAACAGTTTGTAGAGCTATCAGAAAAGGCAATTTTGATGAGCAATGGTGGTTTTTTAGCGATGCAGGTGGTTTCTCAGATGACCAGTGGTTCTCAAACATAATTCTGACACCCCCACTTCTTCACCCTGGGGACATCTGGCAATGTCTAGAGACATTTACGGTTGTCACACCTGGGGGGTTAAACACCCTATGCTGCATAGGACAGCCCCCCATCACAGAGAATTAACAAGCCCCAAATGTCAACAGTGTTGAGGCTGAACACTTTTAGCCTAGACCTAAGCTGCAATGCTGTCCCATGACATCAGAAGTCATGTTTTTTTTTTTTCAGAATTCATGTTTTTATACAGCGAGCGACCTGACAAATTATTGCTTAAAAAACAAAAATGCTTTTCAACACTCAATTGTTCACTGTCCCTTCGTCGCCAT